GTGTTACAAGTGTGGACAGGTGTGGGCAGGTGTTACAGGTGTGGGCAGGTGTGGACAGGTGTAATAACAGGTGGAGTTCTGCTTGACACACGTTGACATAACTGAAAGTAAAGAGAAAGAGAGAGAGAGAACTAACATGGTAAAGAGAGGGAGTGAAAAGACGGAAGGAAGAGGAAGAATGAAGAAGGAATAAGAAAGAGAGAAAGAAGGAAATGAGGGAGAAGAGAGAAAAGGAAAGGGGCGAGAACAGTAAAGAGGAGGGAGAAGAGGAATAAGTGGATGGGTGAATGAAAACATCAAAGAGAGAGAGAGAGAGAGAAAATGAAAGCGGATGAGGGAGAACGAAACAAAATGAGAGAGAGAGAGAGAGTAGTGGTGTCCTGAACGACTATTACATTACCTACTGCTGGTGGCCACACTTGTGTATTCCGAAGGTGTCGTGTGTACCGTGTTTATACCCCGGGTGTGGGCTGGGTGTAGGCCACGTGTCGATGTACTCTACGCTGATTTGTGTAGGTGGGTGTAGTGTAGTTTAGTGGGGGAGGGTGTAGGGGAGCGTGGGCGTTTTGTATAGTGGGTGTGGGGAGGTGTAGTGGGGGTGTGTGGATGTGGGAGGGTGTAGATTGGGTGTGTATGGGTTGAGTGTAGTTTTTTGAGGGATGTAGTGTGGGTGTGAAAAGGTCGTAGGTGTGTAGTATGGGTGTTGAGGATGTGTAGTATACTATAGGGGTGTAGCATAGGTGTATAGGGTGTAGTACCAGTAGTATAACCACATCACCACCGACTTGTCATTAAAAAAAAATAAACACTAAAGCCTCACAAATATATTCCAGCCATGGGAGAGGAGGGGAGGGGGAGAGGAAGGGGAGGGGAGGGGGAGGGGGGGAAGGGGGAGGGATATGTTACCTGTCCTATCCCTTACCTGTTGTGTGATAATGTGACACCTGAGCCCACGTAACTGACACCTTGGTTGGATTCATAAAATTCCCAGGATGTACTATAGGCCACACGTTATCAAGACACAACCTCCTTTATAACTCAACCTATTCTAGTCCATCATAGAGGAAAAAAAATATATATAACACTGCCTGGCCGCTGCACTACACAAGATGGACGGACAGCAGAGGTCGTGTTCAAGAGGACCATTACATTTGTCTGTGGGCGGAACATCGAGTATTTTTTTTTTTTTGTGGTGAGGCGATGAATCCTTGAAAGGTGTGGTGGTGGTGGTGAATGGTGGTGATGTGGCTTGGTGGATGGTGGTGGTGGCGGATGGTGGTGGTGGTGAAATGGTGGTGGTGATGTGGCCTGGTGAACGATGGTGGGGAACGACACAAGCGGCCACGGAAGAGGAAGAAGAAGAAGAAGAAGAAGAAGAGGAAGAAGAAGAAGAAGAACGGATATAAGCGACTCCCGTGGATGAGAAAGGAAGAGAGAATAACAACACCGAAGCAGAGAGACAGAGAAGGAGGAAGAGGAGCAGTAGCAACAACGATAACAGATGACAGTAGCAGTAAGGAGCAGTAAGGAGCAAACAGCAAAGACAGGCACAGCAGCAGAAGGGAAGTAACACGAGTTAGCAGAAGCAGTATAGCAGGAACAAGAGCAGCAGGAACAGCAGCAGGAACAAGGGCAGCAGGAACAAGGGCAGCAGAAGCAGTATAGCAGGAACAAGGACACACAACCCAGCAGAAGCAGTAGTACTAAGCAGGAGATTACTGGTATAACTCAAGTGTGTGTGTTGAGGAGGGTCAATATACCTACCCAGACGTCACCGCTCCCCTCACCACTGTCTCGTCTGCCCGCATTACCTTGTCTCACACAACCCCCACGAGCTATAGGACCTCACACACACCGCCCCCAACCACCATATAACACTCCCTGGCACATCCCTGGACACCCTATACCCACTACATAACACTCCCCGACACATCCCTATACCTCGACACTGACACCCAAACTACCATATAATACTCCCCGACACATCCCTACCACGACACTGACGCCCAAACCACACTCCCTGACACATCCCTGGACACCCTATACCCATTACATAACGTTCCCCGACACATCCCTGCCTCGACACTGACACCCAAACCATGACATTCAAATTCTCCGCGAAATGGTGACATCACTTTCTAGCGTTGGATCCGTCAGGTGAGGAGGAAGGGGGACTTGGGGAACTTTACACAGTGTTCAGATGTCCCCTCTCGCTCACTCCGTTTATCGTCTTGTGAGGAAGAGAAGAGAAGAGAAGTGAAGGGAAAGGAAGGGAAGGGAAGTAAAGGGAAGGGAAGGGAAGGGAAGGACATCATCATCTGTGGAATGCTGTGGGGGATTACTGGGAATGAGGAAGGGGAGCTTATCTTGGGACGGTCACGACGTAGAAGAGAACAAGTTAATGCTGGGGGGCCACGAGTCTTGTCATTGTCCCTCACCTCCTTTCTTTCCCACCTCCCTTCAATTCCTTCCTTCTTCCCTATCCTCCCTCCCCCTCCTTCTTCCCTATCCCCCTTCCTCTTCCAACTATTGATATATTCTAAGAGACGTTCATAGGCTCAAAATTAAGAGAATAAAAATCACCTGATGATTAACCACCTTAAGCTTAATTTACCTCAGATTGCCACAGCTTATTTACCTTAGATTAACCCTCCCCAGCTTAATTTGCCTTACATTAACTCCTCTCTAGCTTAATTTACCTTGGATTACCACAGCTTACTTTATCTCAGATTAAGCTTAATTTACATTACATTAACTCCCTCAGCTTAATTTCCCATATAATTAACCACATTAACGCTAACCTAACCTAACCTTTAACCCCCCCCCAGGTAGGATTAAGGTGTTTTAATCATCAGGTGAAATAAGCTTAACGAAGGCTAATCATCAGGTAATCCCAAAATAGTTCTATCCTGTAATGTTTACCTCGCTGTGAGTTATTTACGATAGCTCCAGAGTACCGCCAATATCAGAGTTATTTACGGTAGCCCTGGAGCTTATGCATGAGTTATTTATGATAGCCCCGGAACTTATGAATGAGTTATTTACGATAGCCCCGGAGCTTATGCATGAGTTATTTATGTTAGCCCCGGAGCTTATGAATGAGTTATTTACGATAGCCCCGGAGCTTATGTATGAGTTATTTACGATAGGCCCGGAGCTTATGAATGAGTTATTTACGATAGCCCAGACGCTTATGAATGAGTTATTTACGATGGCCCCGGAGCTTATGTATGAGTTATTTATGATAGCCCAGAAGCTTATGAATGAGTTATTTACGATAGCCCCGGAACTTATGCATGAGTTATTTATGATAGCCCCGAAACTTATGAATGAGTTATTTACGATAGCCCCGGAACTTATGCATGAGTTATTTATGATAGCCCCGAAACTTATGAATGAGTTATTTACGATAGCCCCGGAGCTTATGCATGAGTTATTTATGTTAGCCCCGGAGCTTATGAATGAGTTATTTACGATAGCCCCGGAGCTTATGAAAGAGTTATTTACGATAGCCCAGGAGCTTACGCATGAGTTATTTATGAAATTTAGAATACGTTAGGACTTGGTGTATTTTCATATTTTTTTGGTGATGTAATTTCAAGTGTTCTCTCTCTCTTTCTTTCTTTTTTCTCTTTAATCTCTCTTATTTTCTTTCTTTTCTTCGTTCTTTCTACTTTTTCTTGCTTTCCATCTCTCCCGCTCTTTCAATTTCTTTGATTCTCTCAATCTCTCTTTCCTTTTCGTTTTTATCTCTCTCTCACCTTCTTTCTTTAAATGTCTATCTTATATTTCTTTCTTTCTCCCTCATTCTCTTTTTTTTTCTCTTATATCCTTCTTTTTTTTTATCTCTCTCTCTCTCTCTCTCTCTTTCTCTCTCTCTCTCTCTCTCTCTCTCTCTCCCCCAATCTTGCTTCTTCACCCAGGAAATATACTTGTGTTCCCTTAGTGTGTGTGTGTGTGTGTGTGTGTCAATGATAATACGTATTGTGTGCTGTGTATATATTGTGTGTGTGTGAGTGTGTTTCTCTGGTTAGTTCATTTTTGGTGTGCTGGAGTCATTCATTACTTTGTTAGGTTGGGTTAGGTTAGGTTAGGTTAGGTTAGGTTGCTTTTAGTACGTTTTAAGAGAAAATTAATTCGTATTCACTAATTTCTATAACGACACTAATTATGTCTTGTAAATAAAAGAAAAATATTATATCTTAACTAATTTATATGCCACCTTTAGTTATATGGTCATGTAAAAAAAAATCAATGTCAATTAATTATTTTATCATCACTAAATATATGGTCTAATTGGCCATGTGAAACACCTGTATTACTTAACATATTAACAAAAATATCAGATCTATGTACATTAAATTTTTGTTTAATGTAAAACAAAATCAAAACCGTTTAGTCAATAATTTATATTTAATGCTGAACAAACTAACTACAGCCAAAATAAATATTATATAACACCTCTTTTGACTACATTTCTATAAACACAAATTTCCTTAACGCTACAAATTCTACATGATAAAAAAACTACTAAAAAACACTACATAACATTTCTAAACATCCTGGTGAATTTAATACAATTTTTAAGCCTTTATAAACCAACCAATCATTAAAAAGGAAATCTTATGAACCTTTTATCTTATTGGCTCATTGTTAAGGTGTTCACTCCCAGCTCCGGCCAATAGGGGAAGGTCTCGTTATATGTGGGTTTCGTCATATGCGGTTTGGTTATACGCGGTTTTATATAGACTGTATGTGAGTTATTGTTTGTGTCCTGACTGGTTGTGAGATTTAACTGTATATTTTAGTCTCTTGTTTATCCACTCTCACTTTTTCTTTCTCTCTCCTATCCCCTCTCTCGTTCACTCACACACACACTTTCTCTTCGACATACAACCACTCTCTTTCACCCACTCACATTCACTCCCTCTCCCACATACACTCTCATCCCTTCTCCCACTCTCTCACTCACTCACTCACTCTCACTCTCTCTCCCACAGGATCAAGTATGTTCTGCTACCATTGTCCTCCCAGCTTACACCCAGGATCCTCGCCCAGGCTGCCAACGCTTGAGTTCCCGTACTCTCCCGCCCACCCATGTAAGTACTCTTTATTTTTTGTACTCTGAAATGTAACTCTTAGTACTCTAATTACTTCTAAGTGTTGGGAGTCCTATTGTTTGTACTCTGAAATGAAACTCTTAGTACTCTAATTACTTCTAAGTGTTGGGAGTCCTATTGTTTGTACTCTGAAATGAAACTCTTAGTACTCTAATTACTTCTAAGTGTTAGTAGTCGTGTTGTCTGTACTCTGAAATGTAACTCTTAGTATTCTAATTACTCGTAAGTGTTGGTACTCATTTTGTTTACTCTTAGATTGTATTCAAGTATCATATGTCAATAAATACAGATATCAAATACTTAATAAAAAAATAAAGACAAAACTGAATGCATTATTTAAACAAGGAAGCTGTATGACACCCTTGTTGTTAATACGAATATACAAGAACACAATACATACATACATACATACATACATACATACATACATACATACATACATACATACATACACTATCCTTCACACGTACACAAATAATCGTACATATTACCCTTCACAAATATATATGACACATACATAAATATATACAGTATTACCTTTCACACATAAACACACACGTACACACTATCCCGTCAAACATACACACACACACACACACACACAACTCCCCTCCCGTCCACCAGCACACACACACACACACACGTACACACAGACAGACACAGGTAAAGGCGAGACAAGGTGAGGCGGGGGAGCAACAAATCTTACATATCAGGGTAAGCACAAGCCGCCTCCATATTCACCGTCAAACAAATATTCTGTCAGACAAACACCGAAAAACTGTTCCCTTACATTTTCCGCGGCTCCTGTGGGGGGTGGGAGGGGGGAAGGGGTTAGTGGGGAAGAAGTGGAGAAGGGAGGAGGAAGTGGAGAGGAGGAGGAAGTGGAGAAGGAGGGAGGAAGGGAGGGGTGTGATGGAAGGGGTTGGTTGTGTACGTATAGGTTGTTTGAGGGGAAGGGGGTTGGAATGTTTGTGTGAGGGGGGAGGAGAAGGGGAAGAAGTATCTGATGGGGAAGGTGAAGTGAGAGGGGATGGAAGGGGTTGGTGGTGGTGTCCGTATAGGTTATGATGGGAAGGGAGAGAAGTGGTAGTGTCCGTGGGGAAGAGGGGAGAGGAGAGAGGGGAGGGGGAGGAGAAGAGGAGGAGGGGAGAGAAAAGGGACGGGGAGGGGAGAGGAGAGAGAGAGTAAAGAGGGAAAGGGATAGCGGGCTGGCTGGGGTCCTGGGGGAGAGAGAGAGGCAAGTATACACGGCCACCTGTACACGTAGTCCACTAGTCTCATTAATTGTAGGCAGGTGTAATGTCTTAATGCCTTCTACCGCGGGGTAAGTAATGGCCCACACTAGCGGCTATCTCTGGGGGACGTAGCGAGGAGGAAAGAGAACCCAGTGAGGGAATACTTATGATTATTTACGTTGAGAATGAGTAACTAAACTCTTACCTACGTTAAAAAAATGTAAATAAGTGTTACAAGAGTATGTATATATTTTTTCTTAAAAGTTAACTAGTTTTGATGTACTGTATAATGTATTCGTTATAAACAAGAGCGTGAGATAAATGTAAGTAAATAACTTCTGTTTATCTTTAATGTAAACAAAAGACGCGAGAGAAATAACACATCAAGACCAGAAGGTTTCAGAGACTTTTAGCAATGTTTATTCGAGCCTCGCCCAGCCACACGGTGATCCAACGCCTGGGCGGGAAAATTGGCTCCCCAGCTGAGTTTTGGCGCGCAAGTCCCCTGATCCTGGGAGCGTGGCGACTGTCACGGCGGTAAACCTCGCTTCAACTTCTCTACGAGGTCACAAAACAGAGGAGACGCTGAAAAAATGGGCGTATTTTCAAAAGTGATCCTGATGGGATAAGTTACTACCTGGGTGTAAAGACTTTGCTGCTCGGGGAGAGAATTCGCCTTCCCGAGAAAACTTCTTCCCACATCTCTTCGTCTTGGCCTTTTTAAAATTTATGGCGAGTCTTGCGGGGTTCTGTTATGAATTATATAATAAATATATCTACTTTGATGCTCCCTCGTCTAGCGGAAGTCCTAAATAACACACTGTAATGCAATTTCCAAGAAGGCAATTTTCCAAGGCTATCTTATGGACGGTGGTTGGTCTCCCCTGGCGGCCGGAAGATGTATCACACCCAGGAGCTGGCCCGACGTCGAGTGATGACCGCCAACACGACCAATGACAAACACAACAAGTTTACGCGGGAAAAAATTGGCGCCAAATTGTATGAGAGATGGCGGGAGGACTCGAGAGGCTATAAAGAGAGATAAAGGGTAATATTTCGAGGGGCAGATGGAGTTAGAGGCCCCGGGGTGGGAGAGATGGACCCAAGGGAGACGGAGGATCAGCCCCCGGCATGATCACGTTATGGAAGAGGCGGCGCCGGTGGCCAAGCAACTTTTCACACTTATTTTTATATTTGTGTTGCTTCACAGACCCTCCAACATTTATACCTTTACCTCTTCATATAATAACTCACAATTCTTACCATTCCTTCCTTGACTTACATCACAACTAATAACACACAATGTAAATAAAAAAAACCCATGAAGCAGTAACAACACCACCACCACCACCATAACTACAACCCATTCACAACAATAACCCAAACACACACACACACACACACACACAACATCTCTGGTAGTATAACACACGAGCGCTAGATGGCGGTAATATCGTCCGTAATCCACTCGGGATGGGCCAGGGGATCAAATAGCCATTCTCACGTTATTATTATCAATGACCGGGGCTTATTACGACGGAAGACTGCGGACTAAGTTTATTTAGATTATTATCACAGTGAGCCCGGGGGGAGGAGGGGGGGGTTATTAGGCTAAGAGTAGGAGGAAAGAGCGAGAGAGCACACCCGACGTATACGGAATCCTAGCGACGACGGCTGGGATCTACTGGGTTAGGTTATTGAGCCAACATGTGGGTTATCACAGTGTGGGGGAGAGAGGGGGGGGGAGGGACAGGAGGAGGGTGGAGGTAGTTACTGGAAGAAGAGAAGGAGGAAGGGGAGAGAGGAGGGGTGGGGGTAGGTTATTGGAGGAGGGGGAGGGGGAATCGGAGGAGGGTGAGAGGAGGAAGGGGAAGAGGAGGAAGAGGAAGAACTTACTATAGGAGAAGGAAGAAATAGTTACTAAGAGGAGGAGGAGGAGGAGAACATAATGAAGAAAATGAGGAATGAGAGGAGGAAGAGGAGGAGGAACACAGATGAAGAAAAGTAGGAAAAGGGAAAATACATTAATTACAGTAGCTGCTCTTCTCACTGTAATAGTATGGGGGGTGGGGGGGGAACCTACCTTGGTACAGTACACTAATGAGACGGCCTTAATGACGTGTCTGTAATTAGTTCTTCTTGTAATGACTTTGTAAATAATAGAGATTATTTTTTTCTTCTCACTAATAGACAGTTTCCTTTCTTAATTATGCGAGTTTATGCGTTTAAGCTGTTACTTTTGCGAGTTAATGCGGTTTAGCTGTTAAATATGCGAGTTAATGCGTTTTAGTTGTTAAATATGCGAGTTAATGCGTTTTAGTTGGTAAATATGCGAGTTAATGCGTTTTAGCTGTTAAATAAGCGAGTTAATGCGTTTTAGCTGTTAAATATGCCAGTTAATGCGTTTTAGCTGTTAAATATGCCAGTTAATGCGCTTTAGCTGTGTGTTTTTATGTTTTTTACACCATCGTAATTCTGCAACATTATTCGTAAGACATCAACATTCACATAAGCTTCTTTCGTAATATTTTCTTTATTTACCGGATAATTTAATAAATCATATTTGACATCAAGGTAAATATTCTTTATATATTACCACTGATTCTAATTATATCACTTAATGTTTGTTAATATCAAGGACAAAGGACTTATTACATGATACAGCCTAACACATAACACACATGAAACGGTATGACACACACACACACATGACTCAGTGTGACACATAATCACATCATGCCCCGAGATACATAGAGTGAGAAAAACACTAACACAAACAGATGACACAAGATAGCCACATGACACAGGGAGACACATCATGCCCCGAGATACATAGAGTGAGAAAAACACTAACACAAACAGATGACACAAGATAGCCACATGACACAGGGAGACACATCACGCCCCGAGATACATAGAGTGAGAAAGACACTAACACAAACAGATGACACAAGATAGCCACATGACACAGGGAGACACATCATGCCCCGAGATACATAGAGTGAGAAAGACACTAACACAAACAGATGACACAAGATAGCCACATGACACAGGGAGACACATCATCCCCGAGATACATAGAGTGAGAAAGACACTAACACAAACAGATGACACAAGATAGCCACATGACACAGGGAGACACATCATGCCCCGAGATACATAGAGTGAGAAAAACACTAACACAAACAGATGACACAAGATAGCCACATGACACAGGGAGACACATCACGCCCCGAGATACATAGAGTGAGAAAAACACTAACACAAACAGATGACACAAGATAGCCACATGACACAGGGAGACACATCACGCCCCGAGATACATAGAGTGAGAAAGACACTAACACAAACAGATGACACAAGATAGCCACATGACACAGGGAGACACATCATGCCCCGAGATACATAGAGTGAGAAAGACACTAACACAAACAGATGACACAAGATAGCCACATGACACAGGGAGACACATCACGCCCCGAGATACATAGAGTGAGAAAGACACTAACACAAACAGATGACACAAGATAGCCACATGACACAGGGAGACACATCACGCCCCGAGATACATAGAGTGAGAAAGACACTAACACAAACAGATGACACAAGATAGCCACATGACACAGGGAGACACATCATGCCCCGAGATACATAGAGTGAGAAAAACACTAACACAAACAGATGACACAAGATAGCCACATGACACAGGGAGACACATCATGCCCCGAGATACATAGAGTGAGAAAGACACTAACACAAACAGATGACACAAGATAGCCACATGACACAGGGAGACACATCATGCCTCGAGATACATAGAGTGAGAAAGACACTAACACAAACAGATGACACAAGATAGCCACATGACACAGGGAGACACATCATGCCCCGAGATACATAGAGTGAGAGCACATGACACTAACACCCACGTCACCTCTCCTCCTTCAGACACGAGCTACAGTTACCACCCTGACCTACACGATGAAACCTTCGTCAGGAGGAAGCAGAGGCGGAACCGTACTACCTTCACCCTTCAGCAGGTAACTTAACTCACTTCAACCTTCAGCAGGTAACTTAACTCACTTCATCCTTCAGCAGATAACTTAACTCACTTCACCATTCAGCAGGTAACTTAACTCACTTCACCCTTCAGCAGGTAACTTAACTCACTTCATCCTTCAGCAGGTAACTTAACTCACTTCACCCTTCAGCAGGTACTCACTTCACCCTTCAGCAGGTAACTTAACTCACTTCACCCCTTCAGCAGGTAACTTAACTCACTTCATCCTTCAGCAGATAACTTAACTCACTTCACCATTCAGCAGGTAACTTAACTCACTTCACCCTTCAGCAGGTAACTTAACTCACTTCACCCCTTCAGCAGGTAACTTAACTCACTTCACCCTTCAGCAGGTAACTTAACTCACTTCACCCCTTCAGCAGATAACTTAACTCACTCACTTCACTCTTCAGCAGGTAACTAACTCACTCACTTCACCCTTCAGCAGGTAACTTAACTCACTCACTTCACCCTTCAGCAGGTAACTTAACTCACTTCACCCTTCAGCAGGTAACTTAACTCACTTCATCCTTCAGCAGATAACTTAACTCACTCACTTCACCCTTCAGCAGGTAACTTAACTCACTTCACCCTTCAGCAGGTAACTCACACCACCCATCTAGCAGGTAAATTACTCCCTTTCTCCCTCATTTACTCATCCTGCGTCTGGTGACATGTCCTATATCACCCATGTCCTTATTATGATATGGGTTAAAAGGGAAAAAAAATATGTGACGTAAAATTCAACTCCTTTTCCATGTGTTGTGATGTTAATTTATCTAACTACCACCACCACACCCCCAGATATTAACACCTCTACACCTACTTCACCTCTGATATTGACGCCTCTTCCTTCACCCCCTGATATTAACGCCTCCTCCTTCACCCCCTGATATTAAAACCTCCTCCTTCACCCCCTGATATTACCACCTCCTCAATCACCCCCTGATATTACCACCTCAATCACCCCCTGATATTACCACCTCAATCACCCCCTGATATTACCACTCTTCCTTCACCCCATGACCAGCTTGAGGAGCTAGGAGAACGCCTTTCACACATTTCACACTCACCCAGACGTCTTCACCAGGGAGGAGCTGGCTATGAAGATCAACCTGACGGAGGCCCGGGTGCAGGTCAGTCCTTCCACCTGTCTTATTAACACAAGTGGGGGTATGGGGGATTATGGGGGTGTGGGGATTATGGGATGGGGATTGGGAGGGGTGGGGGATTAGGGCCAGGGGGATTATGTGGGGCTGTGGGGATTATGTGGGCTGTGGGGATTATGTGAGGGTGCGGGGATTAAGTGTGGGCTGGGGGATTATGGGGCTGTGGGGGATTATGTGGAACTGTGGGGATTATGTGGGCTGGGGGATTATGTGAGGGTTTGGGGGATTATGTGGGGCTGTGGGGATTGGTGGGGCTGTGGGGGATTATGTGAGGCTGTGGGGGATTATGTGGGGCTGTGGGGGATTATGTGGGGGCTGTGGGGATTATGTGAGGCTTTGGGGATTATGTGGGCTGTGGGAAATTATGTGGGGGTGTAGGAGATTGTGTAGGTATTGTGGGTAATATGGGGTATCTGTGGGGATGAGAGGGGATTGTATGGTGTGTGTGGGGGATTGTGTGGGATGGAGAACAGGTATGTGTGTGTGGGAGACTAAACAGGTGTATGGGTGAGGCAGGTGGACAACAAAATCATAACCACAAGTGCCCCCTCCCTTCCCCCCTTCCCTCCCCCACCCCCTCACACAAGGCAGCACATCTCGTCGTGTTTCTCTCACATCATCAAAGTGGTAGATATTTTGCTCTCTCCTCCCCCTTCTTCTTTCCCCCATCTCCTCCCCCTCTCCTCCAAGACGCGGGGAAGAATCACAATCTCATTAGCGTGAGGCCAAAATGGCTTTCCTCTTATTTTCACTTGGTTTCTTTGAGGTAATATCCAAATTAGCTCCTCAAATGAAATTCACAATTAGATATGTAATTATCTTTATGCAAACGAGAAAAAATTGGCTTCTGGAAGGGTTGTCTAACAGGAGGTCGAGGTGAGGAGCAGATCTCACCCTTGTGGTAAGTGACGGTAGGTGTCATATTCCCCCCCGGCAGGTGAGGGTGAGATGGACCTTTATAAGACCCTCAGATAGAGTCATCATTACTTGAGGAGGAACTTCAACTTGATTTTTGGCAGCGTCGGCAAAGTCTGCAATCCTGCAATAATTATTTCCTCCTTCCCCCCTTGCCATCCATCGTCTGTGTGTGTGTGTGTGTGCGTGTGTGTGCGTCTGTCTGTCTGTCTGTCACGCCCCCAAACCAGGTAGTACAGTTGATACAGTCTCTCGGTTTAACTGGTAACTGGCCCCACTTAAAACTGGAGTAATCTAAACATCCCAACGACGGTATATTGATCTAAAATATCGAGAAGAGAGGCCGGGAACACGATTAGAGGGAGGGTGTAGCAGGTAAGGTACCCCAGGCCGGCGATAATAGAAAAATTAATGGATTTTGTTACGACCGAGTATTATAGGGATAAAAATGTCACTAGTCCCTGCCCCCTCCTGGTTTAAGCCACCACCACCTAGGGGAGAACCTGCTGGGGAATTTCCCTATGTGGGGATTTTTTTTTCTAAAGATATCGAGAATTTTTTATTTTTTTTTATTTTTATTATTATTATTATTATTATTATTATTATTATTATTATTATTATTATTATTATTATTATTTATTTTTCCTTATCATTCGAGTCCAGAATACAGGAAAATAATGTAATAGGTGAACTTAATAATGACAGAGAGAGAGAGAGAGAGAGAGAGAGAGAGAGAGAGAGAGTCAAGTAATCAACGAGCGAGAAACAAAGAAACAAACACAAAAAACCAAGCCTCATGAACAAATACACTCTGTTCTCTAATCAGCTGCCCCCGGTGCTCGACATGTCAGATCAAGTTTAACAACCCATAACCCCTTAAGGCGAACCACAGTTGAAAAAACGACAAACACAAACAAACACAGAAACACAAAACAAATCCTGTATGGCAATGAAACAGAGATAAAGGAAATAAAAAGTAAGACAAAATAAAGAAAAATGGAAGAATGAAAGAATTAGATACGTGTTAAAACTTCTCAAAAATTCGTATAAAAATACATCATAAAGGAGGGGGGGTGAGAGGAGGGGGTGGGGGTGAGGGAGGTGGTGAGGGGTGGGGGAGAGGAGAGGTGAAGGTAGGGGGGGGTAAGTAACTGGAGTGACATCTAGTGGCGGCAGCGAAAACTAACTTCAATTAATTATTTCTTCAGACCTCTCTCTCTCTCTCTCTCTCTCTCTTCACTTCTTTATCTCTTTCTCTACCTTCTCTCCTCCCTCTCTCTCTTCATTCCCTATCTTTCTTTCTCTCTCTCTTTTAACCCATCTTCTCTTCCCTTTTCATCTCTCTTTTCACTCTCTCTCTCTCTCTCTCTCTCTCTCTCTCTCTCTCTCTCTCTTAACTTTATTTTGCCGGGAATCGTAAAATGGATTAAGATGCATTACAATAATTGGTTTCTCTTATTTTCCTTTAATTGACATATCGAGTTCTGCTCTAATTAGGAAAAGGAAAAGTCGGGGAGCAATTTTGTTCCCGACCAACCTGATAGTGGGAGGGGAGGGGAGGAGAGGGAGGAGGGAAGGCAAAGACATCGTATTAGGAGGGAGGGGTAGAGAGGGGAGGTGGAAGAGGAGGAGGAGGAGGGGAGGAGGACTGGAGGGGAGGGGAGCGAGGGGAGAAGAGAAGGGGAGGTATAGGAGGATGAGGAGGGAGGGCACAGGGTGGTGGGAAAGGAGAGAGAAATCATATAATTTTTTTTTTTTTTTTTGAGTGAGGGAGGTTAGAGAGGGGAGGGGAGGAGGGAGGGGGAGGGAGGGAGGGAGAGAGGGGAGGAGGAGGGGAGAAGAGAGAGGGAGGTGACAGGAGAAACTTAAAGGGACATTGATTATAGAAAGGAAAACGTTTTTATTATATGGGAATCATAAAGAGACGTGTGTGTATGTGTGTGTGCGTGTGTGTGTGTGTGTGTGTGTGTAAACTCTGGCTATAACCAGAGTGAGCACCTATGGCTATAATTTCTCCGACGCTATTATAATTATACTATTGAGGAAGGAACTTGAACGCTATATACAGTATAACTAAAACGCCTCTATATAATCTGGTTGTTTGCAATTATTTTACTGTGGCGCCATTTATAATTTTTAAGACCCTATAATTAATTGGCGTTGTAAGTTATTTTGACGCTATCTATAATTCTAATGGCTGTCTATAATTGGCGCTGTTAATTATTTTTGCGGAAGATATAATTTTCACGACTGCCAATAATTTCGCGAACTGAGTTTTTGTGGCGCGAATTAACGACACCAAATAGATGGTTTAAGTTATAACTACTACTACTACTACTACTACTATTATTACTACTACAACTACTACTACCACTATCACTACTACTACTACTACTACCACTATCACTACTACTACTACTAAAAAAAAAGCTACTACTACAACTACTACTGTTGCTACTAATACTACTACAACTACTACTGTTGCTACTAATACTACTACTACTACTATTGCTGCTTCTACTAATACTACTAACACCTGTCTTTTGCGGTCCCCCTCAAGGTGTGGTTCCAGAATCGGCGAGCCAAGTGGAGGAAGAGTGAGAGGCTGAAGGAAGACCAGAGGAAGAGGGAGGTGGTGGACGGCGACGCTAACACTCAGACTCAGGTTAGTGCTCGAGGGTGACACTAAACACTCAATCTAGTGCTCGAGGGTGACACTAAACACTCAATCTAGTGCTCAAGGGTGACACTAAACACTCAATCTAGTGCTCGAGGGTGACACTAAACACTCAATCTAGTGCTCAAGGGTGACACTAAACACTCAATCTAGTGCTCGAGGGTGACACTAAACACTCAATCTAGTGCTCGAGGGTGACACTAAACACTCAATCTAGTGCTCGAGGGTGACACTAAACACTCATCTAGTGCTCGAGGGTGACACTAAACACTCAATCTAGTGCTCGAGGGTGATAGTAAAGACTCAAAACTCAAGTTTTAATCACCCTCACTTCACCTTACCCGAGTTAAGTCTTAATCACCCTCACCTCACTACACCCTACCTGAGTTCAAGTCTTAATCACCCTCACCTCACTACACCCTACCTGAGTTCAAGTCTTAATCACCCTCACCTCACTACACCCTACCTGAGTTCAAGTCTTAATCACCCTCACTTCACCTTACCTGAGTCTTAATTAACGCCTCACTTGCAAAACATTACACCTGCATCGAGTACCTGTAAACCTTTCATTACCTGACTCTCGATTCAATTTCGTCTACTCTACTTCTCTATCATGTTCCCTAAAGAGAATATATCATGTTACAGTTGATGACTCGTGAGCTAACAGAGGTAATTGTGTAATAGCTCGGGTCAATAGCTTCACAGAGCACACCTGATGAAAACCAAATCTTTGTTGTTCATTTCTGTGCTGGTTGTCGTGTTGGTACAGTCAGAATTGGCATAGTGTCTGATAGGTCTTCCTGATGGGTGGGAGGGGGGAGTGTGGGTGGATGTGATCTGGTGGTGATGATGTCAGGGATGTGTGTGTGATCTGATAGTGCCAGGGTTATGTGTGATCTGATAGTGCCAGGGTTGTGTGTGATCTGATAGTGCCAGGGGTGTGTGATCTGATGGTGGTGGTGATGTCAGGGTTGTGTGATCTGATAGTGCCAGAGTTGTTTGGTGTGATCTGATGGTGTTAGTGCCAGTGTTGTGTCTGAGTGCCAGTGTTGTATCTAACGGTGCCATAACAGTGCCTTGACCTCGCATGTGTTGACCTCCGGCAGGGTGAGGGATCAGAGGACGCAGAGGCCACCATCTCTAGCAACCTGGAGGTAGCGTCACCCGCCTCCCCTCACTCACCCCACTCCTCACGCCCACACACACCCACGCCCAACCACGACGACTACCCCGCCCACTCTCCCCTCGGCCACGCCCCTTCCCCTGAGCCAACCACGCCCCCTCTGGAGACCGAACAACCGGCCTCGCCCCTCGGCTACGACCACTACGAGGAGAGGTCAGAGAGTCGTGCCCTCTTGGTGGGTGACCGAGAGGGGCGTGGCCTCCTGGGTGACCGAGAGGGGCGGAGCCTCCTGGGTGACCGAGAGGGGCGTGGTCTCCTGGGTGAAAGAGAGGGGCGGAGCCTTCTGGGTGACCGAGAGGGGCGGAGCCTCCTGGGTGACCGAGAGGGACGTGGCCTCCTGGGTGACCGAGAAGGGCGTGGTCTCCTGGGCGAGAGAGGGGCCAGGGAAGAGGACCATGGGCGTGAAGGGCCGCCCACGCCGCCCATCAAGCCATCCTCACCTAAACAAGAGGAGTAAGTTGTCTCATGTCGTCAACTCTATCAATAAATTATAATTATATACCATTAATTAACCCATTATATGAGCACCTGTGAGCCATTAATTATATTCTGAACAGGTGTGAGCTATTAAATAATTATATCGTATCTTGTGAGCCATAAAATACTCATAATAGAATACAGTTTGAGAATTGATGAGCTATTAAATGATTATAATCTATTTTGCCAACTTTGAAATAATGATCATATTTTGAGCAGTATTAAACCACTAAATAACTCTATGAACCTTTATGAGCCATTAAAAGTATAACTCATTACATTGTGAACACCTGTGAGCGATAAATTACACCACGAGTTATACAACACAGAAGTTATATAAAAATCACGTAAAAAAATAATAATTAAAAAATAATAATTTATACCTCTGATTATATTTAAATTATTTTTCTGTGATAATTGTAATGTAGATGTGTATAATGTATGTATTGAATTATAGGATTATTATTAGGATTATATTAGGATTTTCTACACACCTTCATATACACACATACATGTACACACTTTCACACACACACACACACATGTACACACTTTCACACCCACACACAC